TACACAAGTTGTTTTAATCCTTCTGATACTATTTCATAACATGAATGACTTGCTTCAATAATTTCTCTTCCTGTTCTTTCCCCATTAATATATGGTAAAATTTCATTTATTCCAATATCCTCTTCTCCAGCTCCTAATTCATTGACTTTAACTGGAACTTCATCTATTCTTATTTCTTCTATTGGATTAGATGGATCAATTGCTAGTCTCACTCTCATTTGTATGTTATTTCCAAATTCAACGTTACAAAATCCATATGTATTTAAACAATTCCTTAAATACTTAATAATTTCTCCTAACCCTTTACGTTTCTCTTCCTTTATTATATAGTCTTCATTAATTTCTAATATTCTCAATTCTTTATTTATTTGTTTAATAATCGCTTCATAACAACTTATTGCTCCATCCGTTGTTCCTTCATCAAATACAAAACATAAATTGAATAGTAATGCATTTCTCCCATATTTCCCATGCTTTATCATCGTGGGATATCCAACATACGTTTTTCTTTCTGACGTAATTTTAACTAATCGATTGCAAAATCCTTCTTTTGGAATAACAAAATCTGATATTGAACTAAATACCTCCGCCTCGATTGCTTTTTCTGGGTCTTGATACACTACCATTGGCCCATTTGTATTGTCAAATAAACAAAAGAAAATACTTGACACTTTCGTTCCCATTCCTTGTGTTTCTTCTTTTTTAGTTTCTTATTTTATTATCCATCTTTTCTTCTCTCTTTTCTTTCTTTATTCTCTTTATTCTCTTTATTCTCTTTGTCTTCATTGAAATTCTCTTGTCACTTCTCTTTGTGTTGTGTTCTTTTGAATAACCTTTATTGGTGTTACTGACTATTATTTTTCTTATCATTTGTATTATGTCTTTACAAGGATTTCTTTTTCTTTATTATGTAGTGTGTTTTTTATATAACAAATAAAACACTGTTTACAATAACCATGTTCCAATGACTACCCAAAAGAGAGTGAGAAAGTAGGTTTAGTAGCAACAGGAAATTAAGCAATGAGATGACTCAATAACCCAACGCATAGAAAGAAATTCATAATACACAGTAGATTAGAGTTGAAGTAATGAATGGATAAGAATGGATAAGAAGATGAACGAGAACAACGAGGTAGCTAAGAAGGGGAGAAATGGAGAGAGACAAAGAAGGGATGATGGAGAAGCACAACGAAAAGAAAAAGGATAGGAGAGAAGAAAGAGGACGAAAGAGTAGAAATTCAACAGAAATACAAAGAATTGGAGAGGGAGTGGAAGTTCAGTTGAAAAGAAAGGAGAAATAGAAAGCGAAAGAAAAAAAAAAGACATAGAAAGAAAAAGGAAGAGATAAAGAAGAAGAAAAAGAGAGAAAAAGTTGAAAAAGAGAAGAAAAAACATTGAAAAAGAGGAAATAGAAGAAGAGAAAAAGAAAAAGAAGGATGTGGCACCACGGGGCAAAGGACATAAAAATAAGAGAACAACTAAAAAAGATATAAACATGGCACAATTAAAAGCAGATCTTTCTAATTTGGAAGAATGCCTTCCAAGTACACTTTCACAAGAACAAAGAGCAGTTGCTAAAACACAATTCTACAAAGAATTAGCAGAGAAAGTACATAAATTTTATAAAGGAAAGATTCAAATTATGCCAAAATGTACACTTGCAGGATTTAATTGGTTTAATGCATATTATACACCAGGAGTATCAAGAATCTCAACAAATATTAGAGATAACAATGATTCATCATTATTCTATTCATTAAGAGGAAACTTTGTAGGAGTAGTTTCAGATTCCACAAGAGTTCTTGGAGATGGAGATGTTACACCACCTGGAGGACTTGGAGTTATGGAAGGAAAAGCATTATTAATGAAATATTTAGGAGGAATTGATGCAGTCCCAATTTGTATTGATTCCAAGAATAAAGAAGGAAAGAATGATCCAGATGCTGTTATTGAATTTGTCCAAAGAATTCAACATACATTTGGAGCTATTAATTTAGAAGATATTTCACAACCAAATTGTTATAAGATTCTTGATGTTCTTAGAGAAAGTTGTGATATTCCAGTATGGCATGATGATCAACAAGGAACTGCATCAGTTACACTTGCAGGATTATTGAATGCATTAAAATTAGTAAAGAAAGATATTCATGAATGCCGAATGGTATTTATTGGAGCAGGATCATCAAATACTACATGCCTTAGACTTATTGTTACAGCAGGAGCTGATCCAAAGAAAATTGTTATGTTTGATAGTAAAGGATCACTTCATAATGGAAGAGAAGATATTAAGAAAGATACAAGATTCTATAGAAAATGGGAAATTTGTGAAACTACTAATCCAAGTAAATTTGGTAGTATTGCAGAGGCATGTGTTGGAGCTGATGTTTTAATTTCACTTTCAACACCAGGTCCAGGAGTAGTTAAAGCTGAATGGATTAAGTCTATGGGAGAAAAACCAATTGTATTCTGTTGTGCTAATCCAGTTCCAGAAATCTATCCATATGAAGCAAAAGAAGCTGGAGCATATATTGTAGCAACAGGAAGAGGAGATTTCCCTAACCAAGTTAATAATTCAGTTGGATTCCCAGGTATTCTTAAAGGAGCATTAATTGTTAGAGCAAGAAAGATTACAGATAATATGGCAATTGCAGCCTCAAGAGCACTTGCTGAATTTGCTGAGAAGAGAGGTATTAATCCAGACAATATTATTGGTACTATGGATGAACCAGGTATTTTCCCAAAGGAAGCAGCTGATGTTGCTATGCAAGCTATTAAAGACGGAGTTGCACGTGTTACTGATCTTACTTGGCAACAAGTCTATGATATTGCTGAACATGATATTAAGGAAGCAAGAGAATCAGCACAACTCTTACAAGATTCAAAACACATTGTTGACTTCCCACAAGAAACTCTTAATGAGTGTCTTGCTTATGCTATTAACAAAGTCACTGGAAAATGAATCAATTAACAAATTAAGAAGATTTTAAAGGTTTTTTTTTGTATTTTTTGATATATTTTACATAATAATAAAGTATTTGGAAAAAAGAATTTTGTATTTATCTTTGTTGTAATTTTTCTTTCTTTAGAACTTGTAATTTTATTCTTCTCTTTCATTCATGGAACTTCCTTCTTCTCTTCTTCTCCAAGAAATAACCTCCCAATCTCCTGAAAATGATCAAGTTTTCAGACTTACACAACGTGTATCTCAACTAGAAGAAAGAGTCTTTTTATTAGAAAAAAGACTACAACAGACATTGACTTATCTCATTTCTTCTCACACAAACATACAACAATCCCCTTCTCTACCTCAACCTCTTTTTGAAGAGAAGAAAAAGTCACTTGAACATGAGTTACAAACAATTCTCATTGAAAACCAAAATCTAAGACATCAATACTCACAACTTATTTCATCAAATCAAATTCAACCTCTTTCTTCCTTAGTTAGCTCACAGAATAGTACTAATTCAATTGATAACATTTCTATCATTATCAATGACATTTCTAATAATACATTATCACCAACGGTAGTTCAACAAATCCAACAATTAGATTCTCAACTTTCTTGTACATCTAACTCAAGTAATAATACAAATCTGTCGAATACTTTTCTCAATGATTCATCCAAAACTATTCAAAATTATATTATTACAAATTAGTCCTTTTTCACATTAATCTTCATTAAATATAATTTCTTAATTGTTAAAACAAAATTGATTTTTTTTTATTATTGTTGTTCATCATATTCATTTTAACTCTATGATAATACTTCGTTAATTGCTTTTCTTTAACTTTCATTTTATTCATACCAATCTGTTTATTTTTATTGTCATAACATTTCTATTGTATTTCATTTCTTAATGTAATTAGAAAATAGAGAATATTAACTGTTTTAATATCATCTTTTTGTTTTCAATAAAAAACCATAAAATATATTATAATTATTGAATATGTTAATACTAAATTTTAATCTATGAAATAACTATATAACAATGAGCAATGAAGAGTATAAATTAGATGGCTCTACTTTTCTCAAAATGGTTCTTGTAATTGACCCATCTTTTTCAAAGTTTATGGAAGGAAATTATGAAAGAATAATGAGATGTAATTCATCAATTGACCATATGGTTACACTCAGTACTGCTTTTTCTCAATTCTACAGAAATGTTTCTATTCCTTATGAAGACAGATTTCAACTTTATAAACATGTTACTCTTCTTAAAACTAATCCTCAAGCACAACTTATGTTTCAACAACTCGATGAAAAAACTCAAAAATTTCTGTGTATGTTTTTTGGTGAAATTAAACAAATCCAAAACTCAATAAAACTCAATGGCTATAATCGCTTTAGTGATGAAAATCTTCGGAAAGAATTTGACAGATATCTTCTTTCCCATTCTCCTGACTCAATCAAAGATTACGATATCAATAAATTAATTGACCCTTTCTTTCTTGACCAACACCAATCATTAGTATCAAAGAAATCAGATCTTCTTACTAAATTCCAATCCGCATCTCCAAAACAACTCTACAACATCCTTATTTTACTCAAAGTAGCAAAATCACATCATCCGATGAAAATGATTTTGAAATAGACTTTAATACATTAACTAATTCAGAATGTGATCAAATTTTAAAAGTATTAACATCCTCTAATTGAATTTTGTACTTTAAGTTATTTACTCTTTTCTTTTTACCAACTCATTTCTTCTTTATCTTTTATCTTGTCTCAAATAACTACTCTCTTCTTATTCTTACTTCATTCATCCTATCATTACTCCTCTTTTCTTTTTAGTATTCATCTATTATCTCTCTTAAAATCATCTCTGACATTTAAAAGAATGTATTAGTATTAAAGTTTGCTTAAGAAAAAAGTTACTAAAAATTAATATTAAGAATAACATACAATTGAATGATATAAATTGCTTAACATCATTTGGTTGAACTTTGTTTTTGAGTATTATTGTTAAAGTCTGAGTACTTCAAAACAAGTATTATGTCAAAGTCAACTTCTACAAAAAAATTAAATGAAATTAACCGATATTGAAAACATTCGTTCAATTCAATTTTTATCCTTGAGTATGCTCTGGGGCTTTAATAGTTTCATCAATTGAAATAATTAATGAAGCAGCTTCAGTAGCAGCAGCAATAGCATTTAATTTTATTAAAGCAGGTTCCCAAACTTGAGCCTCCATCATATCAAGAATACCTTCTTCATTAACATTGACACCATACCATAAACCTCCTTCTGCATGTTTTTTTCTTAATAAATTAAGGATATTTGTTGGATCAAATCCAGCATTATCAGCCAATTGCCTTGGGATGCCTTCGAATGCTTTAGCATATCCAAGAATGACGTATTGAATTTTACCTTCAATAGTCATTGCATATTCTTTTAATTGTCTTGAAATTTCCATTTCAACAGCACCTCCTCCTGTAACCATTTGTTTATGTTTCAAAGCCCTTCTGACAATCATAATAGCATCATGTAATGATCGTTCTGCCTCATCAATGAAATGTTCTCCTCCTCCTCTTAAAATTATAGTAGAACTTTTTGCAGCAGTACATCCACTAAATAAATTATATCTTTCTTTTCCTATTTGTTGTTCTTCAAATTTTCCACATGTACCTAAAACACTATCATTTAACTCTGAAACAGTAGTTTGTATTTGAGCTCCTGTAGCAAGACAAACTCTTTTCATATCATCTTCTTCAACTCTACCAGCACAAAAGATTTTCTATCAGCGAAGTACTGAGTAGCAAGGTCACCAATAGGTAATTTAGATAAAACAATATTTGCTCCTGACTTAACTATGTTTTCTAATTTTTCATAAAGAATAGACCATTCTGCATCAACAATTTTTTGATATTGAGTAGGGTCATCAATACGTACTTCTGCATTATCTTTTTCTTTCTTTAATTCTAATTCAATATTTAAACATAATATCTTTGGTTTATAAAACAATTTTGGTTGTTGTTCAAATCCAGCATAACTAAAACATTTCTTAAAAGCAACTCCTTCTAATGTAAATGAATCTTCTAATGATCCTCCTTGTTCTTTTTTAATTCCAATCATATCAATATCTAATTTATCATCTAAGTGCATAACACTTTGAACAACAATATTAGTAAAATGTTCTCTTTGCATAGCAATTAATTTACTTTGCATTGATGTTTTGGCACAATTTTTTAAATATTCCATTAAATCTTTTTTATCAAAATCAATTTTCATTGTATTAACTACTTCTCTAGCTTTATTTGATGCCATACGATATCCCTTAATAATAACTTGTGGATGAATACCATCTTCAATTAATTTCTTGGCTTGTGAAAGTAATTCTCCTGCAAGAACTACTACAGTAGTAGTTCCATCTCCAACTTCTGAGTCTTGTGCCATTGCTATATCAACTAAAGCTTTAGCTGCTGGATGAACAATATCCAAATTTTTCATTACTGTTGCCCCATCATTAGTTACAAGTATTTTCCCATTTTCAATAAATAACTTGTCCATTCCTCGTGGTCCAAGAGTAGTTTTAACAATATCAGCAATTGCTTGACATGCATTAATATTACTAATAATTTGTCCTTTTCCTTGACTAGTATCTGTTCCTTCTTTGAGAAGGATAATTGTTGGGTTTAACATGTAACTCATTCCTTAAATATTTCTTTTAACAAATTTAAAGTTTAACGGTTCTTTTTTTTTTATTTCTTTTTAAACAAAATAATAAAATAAATGTCTTATAAAACCAAATTATTTAATTTGTGTTATTTAAATTAAGGTTTAATAATTGAAAGTTTTGTTCATTTAATGAAGGAAAAATACAAAGAACATCTTTCAAACGAAACTGCAATTTCAAGACAGAACTACTATAATAACAAATTTATATATTCTCCACCTAATAGCCTTAATTTAGCCTCTTTTAAAGATGATATAATTAATATAATAATTTACTGTGTTATAGTGAAAAAATAAGTAAACTTTGAAAAGAGATAAATATTTAATAGTAATTTGGCGTTTATCTAGAACAAAAAAAAGAATCCTATTTGATCTAAATTATCTCCAAAGATAATTTAATTATAAAAAACTAAACTTATTCTATTCTTGAATGGAAAAGGGTTTTACCATAAACGAAGAATGACTTCCATCAAGAAGATTCTTAAAAAGAAATGTGTTTTATTCTCAAAGAAGTAACTGAAAATTTCACATTCTATGTCTAGATTGAATAGAGGAGGTAAAATTGCATCTCTTATTGATCGTTATGAAAATAACGACAAAAAAAAGCAAGAAGATGCTAGAATTGTAGCTGAAGTCCGTGCTTCTCCTAGAAAAGCAGCTGAAGCAAAGGCTAAAGAAGAAGCTGAAGCAAAAAAGATACAAGAAGAAAATGAAAAAAAAATTTTAGAAGAAGCCAGAATCAAAGAAGAAGCTGAAGCAAAAGCCAAAGAAGAAGCTGAAGCAAAAGCTAAAGAAGAAGCTGAAGCAAAAGCTAAAGAAGAAGCTGAAGCAAAAGCTAAAGAAGAAGCTGAAGCAAAAGCCAAAGAAGAAGCTGAAGCAAAAGCTAAAGAAGAAGCTGAAGCAAAAGCCAAAGAAGAAGCTGAAGCAAAAGCTAAAGAAGAAGCTGAAGCAAAAGCTAAAGAAGAAGCTGAAGCAAAAGCTAAAGAAGAAGCTGAAGCAAAAGCTAAAGAAGAAGCTGAAGCAAAAGCCAAAGAAGAAGCTGAAGCAAAAGCTAAAGAAGAAGCTGAAGCAAAAGCCAAAGAAGAAGCTGAAGCAAAAGCTAAAGAAGAAGCTGAAGCAAAAGCTAAAGAAGAAGCTGAAGCAAAAGCTAAAGAAGAAGCTGAAGCAAAAGCTAAAGAAGAAGCTGAAAAGAAAGCTAAAGAAGAAGTTAAAGAAGAAAATAAAGAAGAAGTTAAAGAAGAAGTTAAAGAAGAAGTTAAAGAAGAAGTTAAAGAAGAAAATAAAGAAGAAAATAAAGAAGAAAATAAAGAAGAAAATAAAGAAGAAAATAAAGAAGAAAATAAAGAAGAAAATAAAGAAGAAAGTGAGGTTCAAGATACTACACCATCTGAAAGAGTAATGTCAAAAGGAGAGAAGAAAGCAAGAAAAGCACTTGAAAAAGTTGGACTTGTTGAAGTACCAAATGTTATTGAATTTTCACTTAAAAGAGCAGGAAGTAAATTCGTTATTAATCAGCCAGCTGTTTATAAACTTCCATCAAGTGAACATTATGTAGTATACGGTGAACCAAGAAATGAATATATGGACGAAAAGACTAAACGTATTCTTGAACAACTTCAAGCTAACATGAAAGAACAACAAAATACAACTGAAGAGAAAAAAGAAGAACAAGTCAATGAAAGTAGTGCTCCAGCTACCACTGAAGCTGTTGAAGATGATGGATATGTTCCAGTTGAAGCTGATGTCAATGTGCTTATGTCTCAAGCTAACACCACACACGAAAAAGCATATGCAGCTCTTAAAAAGACAAAAGGTGATCTTGTGAGTGCTTTCTTTGAATTCCAATAAATTACCTACCTATTTACTTCATCCTTTTGGTTTTTTGAAAAAAAGTTTTTAATAAATAAAAAAATTACAATAATATAATAGCTAATAAAATGAAAATAAATCTTAAAAATTCTTTAAACTATATGGAAAAGGAAAAACCTCGCATTGACGAAAATGCTTTGTTTCAAGACGTTAATTTCGGTGATGTAAATGACCCATACGCAAGTGCGTATTCTATGTCAAATCCGTATGGCATCGACAACCCATACGCCACTGTCACAACACCAACTGAATCATCACCTTATTCAGGAGATTCAACAAATAACACAAAGAACTATTCACAACCATATTCTTCAACCAACCAAGCAGATCCATTTCAACAGATAAATAGTTCAACTAAAGAGGATACGAATAATGATGATGGGATTTTTGATGAGATAGAAGCGCAACGATATTATTGTGAAGAAAAACCACTTCATAATTTACCACATCCATTACAACTTCTAGAAAAACGAAAACCAGGAGTTGATCAACGTGCATCATTATCTATGGATCATGGTAAAATTGATTTATATAGTAATGTAGTTTTTGTAGGTAATTTACCGGATGGAATAGACGAAATGGGTATTGCTAAATTATTCCAAAGTATATGTGTTCCAAGAAAAATTGTTTTATTTTCACAAAAACATCATTGCTTCATTACATTATACACAAGAAAAGATGCTATGGCAGTCTTTCATTTCTTATTCAGATATGATACAGGAAGTCATCCCCCTTTTATTGTTAGTTGGGGAAAAGAGTATTGGATGAAAAAGGATGAGTATGACGAAAGAATTGGCAAGTGTATTATTTCTCCAGAAGTGATTCCTCCTAATATCATTGTAAATTTTGATAACTCATATGTGTATGTAGAGGATTTGAATAAAATATATGGAATTCCTGTTCCAGTTATACCTATGGAACAACCAATACCTCAAATGTTATCTCCTCATAGGTATGATTCACCAAGAGATCGTTACAACTCTTATTCTCCTTCTAGAGACTATAGAGAGGTAAGGTCTCCACCAAGAAATTCAAGAGAAAGAAGAAGAGATCATTAAATATGACTGATTAATTAATTTTTGTTTGGAGCATTCAACTACTTTTTGCTCATCGTTGTTATGAGTTAAGACATTATTTTGTACATTGCAGTTACTTTTTTTTGTTTCTTAACACCAGCCAAGATAGAGTTATTTTTTTGATGGCAACGATGTTGTTTTAAACAAGACAAGTAAACTTCTCCACAACCATTTATCTTCTTTTCATTACATAAAGCCTTAATTCTAGAGCAATGGATTGAGTCTTCGTAAGGACATCCCTTTGTTTTTCCTTGAACAAATATGATTAATAAAAATGTGAATAAAATGAAAAACATTTTTTACAAAAATTCTTTGTTAAAAAATTTAGTCTTAAATATTAGTTTCTTTTCATTCTAAATAGTATCTTGTCTAAAATCATAAAAAAGAAAAAATTAACTAAAAACCCAATATTAATTATTTTATGTCAAAAACATATGTCTATATACCTAAATCTAAAAGAAAGCCTAAAGAAACTGAAGATGAAGATGGGTTTCAATCTGTTAGTAAAGGAAAAGTAGCTACAAAGTATTCTTCAAGAAATGAGTCACCATACCAAAAGAAGCAACAAGTAAAAGGTTCATATCATCCCACTCCAAAATCATTCAAACAATCTCCTGATTCAATTAAATACCAAAGAGAGTTTATTCAAGGAAGTTTGTTTATTTCAATTTTTTAAATGAATTAAAAATTAATAATTATTTCTCAGCTGAAATTGAAAATAAAATATTTAATGAATATAAAGCACAAAAAAAAATTGCTTTAGATAACTTTCTTTTTTTATATTCAAAAGAATTACAAAGTAAACCTATTACAATTAGTAATGAGTATGTATTTGAATACCGTTCATCTGTTGAAAGTCAAAAAAGTAAAGAGATTGAAGTTCAATAAATTAATTTTTTTCCATTGTTGTCTTTTAGTGTTTGTTTAAAACAAAAAGTCTTGCCTAAATACCATCATCAAGAGACTTACCACAGAAAGCTAAGACAAATTCATTTATTTGAATGAAGTCTTTTTTGTTTAAGTCATACTTAATCATGAAATTTAAAATCGACTCAGGACGACCAATTTTTTCTAATAATTTATCAACAATATATCGTGGTAGTATTTTTTCATTTTTAACATCAAGCATATCAAAGAGTTCAACATAAATAGAGACATAATCAAATTCCCCATTTTCATCAACATAATATTCAAATAAGTAATAAAATTGAAAGAATTCGTTAGGATCTAATGACTTATTTTCATCAACGTCACAAACATAAAACATTGTACTAAGACAAATTTTATTAGTCTGTGATATTTGTCCAACTGTATTAATAACATAATTTAATACTTCATCATATTCTATTGACTTAGAATAATCCTTATCAATTAGTCTAAAGGTTTTAGCAATTTGTCGTTTCATTTTTTCTTGTTTTATTTCTTCTGAATCATCTAATTTAATTTCATCCAATTGCATAAAATAACATAAGTATTCTTCCAAATTTAATTCTTTTTTTCCTGCTTCATCATATGTTCTAATTAGGTCATTTGCTTCTTCTTCAGTTAATGTATCTCCATCTATTTGTTGAACCAAAAATGAGACTTCTTGACTATTAATTAAACCATCATGATCACCATCAACACAATGAAAAAATACTTCATACATGTCTCTTTCAGTAATTACTTTATTTTTCATACATTTTCCAATTGGAGTCATTAAAATAATAAATTCTTCTTTATCTAAGTATCCATCACAGTTAATATTTCCAACATTAAATATAACTGGTAGAGCAGTTCTTAATGCTTGTGTGTTTGTTTCTCCAATAACAGTTATTAAAGCACTTCTAAGACTATCCATATTCATTTTATGACTTGGACATAACTCATCAAATAGTTTAGAATATTCATCACTTGTAATTGATGTTCTTATTAAATTACAATTCTTTTCTTTTTTAATATTATCATTTCTTAATATTTGAATTGTAGTTCTCATATTTTGAGGTTGTTCACTGTCATACTTTAAATCAGTTTGATTTCTTGCTCTTAAATTATTAAAGAAAGAATCTGGTATTTTAGATGTGCATAATCCATTACTTACATGAATAAATTCATCAATTTGAAGAACACCATCACCATTGCTGTCAAGTTCTTTAATAGATTTTTTAACATTATCTTTTTTAATATCAAAGCCAGATTTTTGAAGAAACCTTGAATATTTTTGTAATGTTAAAAATCCATTATATTCATTGTCAAGTAGTCTAAATGAAATAACATTTAATGAAAAAATATTAATTCCAACTTTCTGTTCTACAAAAGCAATTTGAAGACATAACTCATTAAATTCATACAGTTTAAATTTATGTACACGGGACGTATCCATTAGTCTAATCACTACTTTTAAAGCATTCACATGTTCTTTAATTTTAAATTGTTTTTGTAATCCTTCAAGTACATCGCTATCACTAATATAACTTTTTCCTTTAGCATATTGATCAAACAACGATTTAAATGACCAATCTAAAATACATTGTTTAACTGTAGATGAGTCTAATTGAACTTCATTAACATTTTCATATAATGAAATAAATTCATCAATACTATATAAACCATTACTATCAACACCAGTTTCTTTTTCTAGTCTCTTTAATTTTTTTGAGTTTGCTTTTGATGTTTTAGTAAAATATTTTGAAGTATCACTTCTCTTAACTTTTAAGTTTTTAGATGGATCAAGTAAAAGAAATACAATGGCAGCAATATGGGCAACCGTAAATGTTTTATATTTAAAAATAAAAGCATCTATAAATTGACATATTCTTGTGTATTTAATAACATCATATTTTTCTTTAACAATTGCAGGAATAAGTTGTTCAATAAAATTTGATTTTTTTGAAAAAAAATAGTCATTAATGTCATTTGTAATTGATTCATATGTTGAAGTTCTAGATAATTTATTAAATCTTTCAATAAATATCTCTCGTGCCATATTATAAATAGTTTTAATAAGATTTTTGAGATTTTAGTAAGTCAAGACATGACAAGATAAGTAAAGAAATCTACTTTTTTTGTCTCTTTTGTATCTTGTTTCAAGTTTTTTAAACAGAATTAATTCCGGAATCTAGATATTTCTTGATTATCCAGTTTCTAGGAATAAATATAAATTCATAAGATTTTTAAATAAATTTAGTTAATTTATCAATCATTATTATCATCTTCTTTTCTCATTTTTTTATTCTCAAAATTATCATTAATCTCTATTTTATCTAATACAATATTTCCATCATTTTCTTTTGTCATTTTTTCTTTAGTCTTTTCTACATTATGTATTAGAAATCTGATTTTCTCTTTAACAGTTTGTGGAGTATATGAGTTAATATAGATATTAAACACAAATAATGGATGTTCTTTGATTTCTTTTAAGATCCTTTCCCAGTCTTCTCCATATTCTGCATATTTTCTTAACATCATTGAATCTACTAATGGATCAGTTTGAGAATTTCCAAAATAAACGTATGGAGTTAGTACTGTCATATCATCAGGCTTAGCTTTGATAGCTTGTGCTAAGTCTTCTTGTTCTTTTTCTCTTAATTTTCTTTTTTGTTCACTTTTAAATAATGAATTGTATAGTTTTTCTCCTTCATTGACTTCATTATATCTTTGAATAAAAACATTATTGTATCTTTGAACTTCTTGTTTATCTTTTCCCATATATGTACTAATTTCATCTAGTTTTTCATAACCATATTTCTTCATGGCTGTTTTCCATTTTCTAAAGTCATTATCATCCCAATCATAAAAGGTTTCTTTTAATAACTTTTCTTTTCTTTGATTATCTTCATCACTAAGGTATTTTGGATGTAATATTGGATCTAATGAATCTCCTTTTAATATAGCAAATGTAAGATCTTCTTTGAACGTTGCATTTAGTCGTTTGTATTCTTCATTTTCTTTATCTAAAAGTTGAAGTAATTCTTTACTTGGAAATTGTAAATCTCTAAATTTAATAGCAGGAGGTTGTTTTAATGTTTCAGTACGAACCAATTTCATATTTTCTTTATAACGTTCTAAATCTTCTAAATTATCATTTTGCCCAAACACTTTTCCTTCAAATTCTCTTATATCAACTTTTTCAACTCCAAATGCAAAATTAGTTAAATTCATCATTCCTTTTTTTGCTGTCTCTGTTTCTTTTTCAATTTCATTCTTTAGTTCTTGTGTCTTTTCTTTTCCACTTTGAATAATTGATTCAATATCAATATCCTTTAAATCTTTATTTTTTTCTTTTACTTTCTTATCATCACTTTCTTCTTTTAAACACCCAGTTAATTCTTGTTGCATAATTTGTAACAATTCTTCTTTCCCAATTGCTGGTTCTGTTGCTGTTTTTCCACTTTGCATTACAAGTCTATTTAACATTAATTTTCTTTCTGCAACTCTAATCAATCGTTGTTCAGCAGTTCCTTCACAAATTAAACGATAAACAGTAACTGGTTTAGTTTGACCAATTCTATGAGCTCTGTCCATTGCCTGAATATCAGATTGTGGATTCCAATCAGAGTCATATAATATAACGGTATCAGCACTTTGTAAATTAATACCTAACCCACCACTTCGTGTTGATAACAGAAAAATACTAACCTTACCATTTGGGTCATTAAAATCTTTAATTTGTTCAACACGATCTTCTTGTTGTGTTTGTCCATCAATTCTATAATGCTCAATATCTTTAAACACAAGATAATCATCAATAATATCTAACATCCTTGTCATTTGTGAAAATATTAATATTTTTCCATTATTTTTTAAATGTTTTTCAACTAACTTTTCCATTACAATCATCTTAGCAGAAGATAGACATAAGTGTTCTCCATTGACATATGGCTCTGGCTCTGCTCCAGGCATAAGATATGGATGGTCACAAACTTTTCTTAGTTGAGTCATAGTGTTATTCAATTTTGATTTAACAATTTTGTCTCCAATAATAACAGTTACATCACCCATTAATACTTTTCTGTACCAAATTTTTTGAAATGGTGTAAGTTGTACAAAGATTTTAATTTCCATTTTTGGTGGTAATTCTTTTTGAACATCTGTTTTTAACCTTCTCAACATAAATGGTTTAATAAAATCTCTAATAGAATCAATATATCCTTGAAATTTATCTGACTCAATTGATTCAAATATTTCATCTAATTCTTTTGTATTAAATATTTCAGGTAATAAAAATTGTAATAATGACCATAATTCATGTAATGTATTCTGTAATGGTGTTCCTGTAAGAAATAGTTTATGTGATGCATTAATTTCACTTAAGTCATTATAGAAACGTGTATTTTCATTTTTTGCACTATGAGCTTCATCTAATATTAAATATACAAATTTTTGTTTCTTTAATAGTGATTTCTCTTTTGAAATAACTTGATAACTACAAATAATCACATCAGCCTTTAGTTTATCTTTATCAAAATTCTCTTTTCTACAATCCTCTCTTGATTCTCTTGTACCTCCCATTAGAGCAACTTTTATTGATGGCAACCATTTATTAATTTCATTTTTCCAATTGTCAATTGTAGATTTTGGAGATATAACAATATGTGGTCCATGACAGTCTTGTACATGATATAAATATCCTAATAAACTAATACTTTCTAATGTCTTTCCTAACCCCATCTCATCAGCAAGAATTGAATTTACCCCAAGATGATGTCTTCTGATTAACCAATTTAAGGCATCAATTTGAAATGGTTTCAACTGTCCATTTTTAATATCTTATAGATTAATTATTTGTTAGATATTAAATAATACTTATACTTGTTCTTTTTCAATTTAAAAAACTCAAATATAATTAACACAAAATTAACAAACAAGGTGGACTATTTTCAAAATACATTGCTGTTGAAATTGATTGA